GAAGGTGCATTAGGACCTCGAGGGAGCAGCCCCAGATCAATAACTAGCCAGCCAGATTTTTTGCAAATGAACCTTCTGCATCTGCCTATGTTTATAGTCCTAAATGTATTTTACTTCCAAATAGCCTCAGAGTAAAGAGTAATTCACATTTGAAGTGTAATATTTAACTCAACAAATACCCTTAAAAGCAGAGGACTTCATTAATGACCTTTATTTTTGTAGGAACACAGTGGTCGGTTGTTTTTAGGACCACCCTCACCATCTTAATTATATCTACACCCCATGGTAGGTTTAGGTGTGAAAAACAGGAGTACTTTATTGCGTGCTGCACTGGAGCTGGGAAATGCTGCAACTGCTTTCCTTATGTTAGGAAAACTCCATGTTACGCCTGTGGATGGTAATATTAGCCTGATAAGCGGTAAGCATTAACAAATACATGGAAACACAGGGTCAGGGGAGAGTCAAACACTGGGTGTTTGTGACTTAATCTTGGTGCCCAGATCAGAATCACCTGATTTATGGGAACAGGCAACTCTTTCCAGCTACAGCTTTACAGATTTGGGCCCTTATTATTAGCCACAAAATTTGCCCTAGAAAACCATTGCTATAAGCGGTGGAGTCAGTTTGGGATTTTCCAAGGATCTGGGGTTTTCCGACATTTCTTTCAAACTGGCCTTCTGGCAGGAAGGAGTGAATTTTAGTGAATATCAAAAATAGAAGAAAATGTGGTGCAGGGAAATAAAGATGGGCAAAAATTTTCCAAATTTGACACTTTCTAAGCAAATATTTTCCCTCCAACTCAAAACAATTATTCCTTTTGAAACATTATTTGAACTTTGAGTTATTTAAATACCATAGAAATTAAAATTATTTGATACAGTAAGCACGAAACTTTTAAATATGATCCAACCCAATGTGGAGGTAATTATTAATTTAAAACTCTTTTACTTTGGACTTGGGCCAGGGAAAGCTTTTGCAATCTCAGGCTCCTATAGAGTGGGGAAAAAAGTCCTTGATTTCTACTACTCAGATGTTGCCAGCTGTTCCTGCGGCTCCCCTGCAGCCAGCTATAGATACACGGGCATCACGCTTACTGATTCCTGTCCGGAGTGAGCTTGGCCGGGTAGAAAGCTGAAGCAGAGATGCGCTTGGCCCATTTTTGTGCAAAGCAGATGGTTCCTGGCCTTTCGTCCAGCTGAAGGCTCTTACACCTGTGGTAATACATCTCCCTTTGGGTTTAAATTACGTAGCAGCCATCCTGCCTTCTGTCTGAAGGTACCGCGCTGTTCCAATTTCCCTCTTATCACATCTTCACTTCTAATCTGCTCGCTGGACACGATGCTTACCGTCACGCTTGAGTCAATTGGCAAAATTTATCAGAGTGCCTCCCTCGTTGGTGCATACTAATCAATAAATATGATGACGTCCTAACAACACCAAGCTAATGCTTCTAAAAGGATTTATTTGTATCTGCCAACTTCATTTAAAAAAAAAAAATAATCTCTTGGTAGAGGCTCAGCAACTTCATTTCAAGGGCCGAGTGTCTGTTAGCAAAACCATTCACTGGGGTTTTTTTTTTTTCTTCTTCTTCTTTCCTCTCACAGAAATTTGATCAAGAAAAACCCAGCAACAGGAACACGTTCCAGTTTCGATTGTGATGTGGCTGATTGGGAATACCATCCCTTTGGCGCCATAGCACAAAAAAGGCAGGTGGTTGAAGGGTCTCAGTCTGCAATCTGGCTCCTATCAGGAGAAGACTGGACAAGGGCTGGCGGCTGCATCCTGAGAGGGTTTGATCTGCTTTTCCGAAGAGAGAGGAACGCTTCTAGTTTGCTTAAAACCAAAGCCAGAAGAGACAGCAGGAGCAAAGCCAACAGCTGAGGTTGAAAACTGGGAGGAAGGAGAGCAGATGCGGGCGTCTTTCAGCCCGGCCACTCAGTCACTGTCTGCAGCCCCTGGGGACGAGCCCCCCCCCAGTGCGAGCCCGTGAGGAGCTGCCGGACGGAAAGGTGGGAGCAGTGCTGCACCAGACATCTCCAGTGCCTGCCGGAGGCAGGCCTTGGGCAGGGAAAAACAGCCCCGAGGGTGAGGCAGAGCCCTCGGTTATGCCCATTTACCGCTTCGGGCGTTTCAGCTACACGGACATCTGGGCTACAGCCTGTGCAGCAAGGAAAAGGTACGTACAACAGCAGTAAAGCATGTATAATACCTGGGAGACTGATACCACGAGGGCTTAATGACCCCGCTGGCCACCTTCCTTCCCCCTGAACTGCATGCAGGTGACCCAAAGCCTCTGGCACGTGCTGCTTCTTCAGCCCCCATGAACAGACATGTGTCCTTCCTCCTCCTCTCACCCTGCTCCCCATCGGGATGTTACGATCTCATTGCTGAGCACCAGCCATACCACACCCTTCTCCCTCCCCACCTTCGGTAAGCCGTTTACTTATTTCCCAGGCTAAGAGACCGGTGCCGTAATTACGTCTCTTTCAGAGGAATAATTTTTGCATACGCTCTTGCCAGCACCTGACGCACAGACCTTTCCAGCAGCAGGACTCAGCCCTGGCTGACAGCTCGCTGGCTTATTTTGAAACAGGGATGAAGATGAAACCACCTGTAGTGTCATAGCAACCCTCCCCAGCGGCTGTCCTCTCCCAGTTCAAACCGAAGCCACCTCACTGGCTGACAGACCAGGTAGGAAACTGCTTGTCAAATCAAAACCAGGCTGAAAGCACTTAAAAACTGTTTACTGAGGTGATTTGCAGCTGTGAAATTAGCTCACAGGTGATGCTGTTCTGCCAGGTGCTTTGAATGATGATTTGCATGGTGCTGCGCTCTTTAGGGTGGCTGGGGTAGGTCATTTACCTCCTCCAGCCTGTCTCAGCTACCTGAAACCCAGCGTACCCCACCTCTGATTTGCAAGCAGGGCTGGCTGGCATCCTTGGGGTGCTCACCAGGTCGTTGCCTCCTTCAAGCACAGGGGCAGCTGTGCCACTTGCATGTCAGCGCTTTAAGGCAAATCCAAACCAGTGGCAGTTCACACAGGGCTGTAAGCTGACAGTTCAGGAACTAATGATAAAATGGTCCAGAGGCACGTGCATGATCCAAATTCTGCTGTTTGGATATGTCTGTGTGTCCAGAGACAAAGACTTTACCGTCCCTGCGGTAGTAGCCCCACAGGAACTAAATCCTGGCTCTGGCAATCTTCTGGACAGATCTCTGGGCTTCAGGTCCTCCCTCCCCACTTCGTTACCGTTCCAGAGGGTGCCGGTGTACGGCAGCGCTGCAGGTACTGCGCTTGCCCTGCGCTTTTGCCCTACCAGCTCCCGTGATGTAGCTGTTTGCCCCTGAAGGCTCCCAGCCCAGGTTCACAAATCCCATCTCGCCTTCCCCTGCGTCGGACGCCTGCCTTCACTCAGGGACCGGGTGAGGAATAGCACCTCTGGGCTCAGCGCCACGGGCTGCTGAGGGTGCTGCCCGCGCAGCTCGGAAGCGCAGAAAAACCAGGGTGGGGAGGGATCTCAGGAGGTCGTCTGCTCCAAACCCTTGCTCCAAGGAGGGTGAGCACTGACACCTTCAGCAGCAACTCTGTGTCACTAATCTAAATTCTGCTCAGTGGGGCAGACAAAAGTATCTTGAAGTCCGTTTTAACTTCAAATTTGATTAAGTCCTGTTCTTATACAAGAAATGGCTTAACATTTTTGGCAGGGGGGAGCAGTTTCGGACTACTAAATTGTGGGGAAAATGTATTTCTTTTTAAAGCAATGCCAACATTTCTTTCATGGAAATGTTTGTCATAGGTACACTGTTTTGTAAGATGTAAATAACATACTGTATCATGGGAATTGTAAAAAACAGGGCTGGAAGGCACCTCAAAAGAGCTCGTGTCCAAGCCCTGCTCCAGGTAGGCTTACCTCCATCTAAACCGTTCCCGATTATCATCTAACCTGCTTCCCAAAATCTCTGGTGATCTTCCCGTGCAATTTCCTCCACCCTATAACAGCCTTCCAGTTAAAAGTGCTTTTCTAAATGAAAGCCCACATTTCCCTTCTTCATTCACGCTCATTAAGAACTTGTTAAGCAATCATTTGCCAGGTATAATTTGGGCAAAACTTCCTTCTGCCTGAGGGTAGATGTGAAACTTGCTTTGCAACGTGCAAGCAGCTCATCTGCGGGCTGCGTTTTGTTTTGTGTGGTTGGTTTTTGTTTTTTTCTTAACTAAAATTTTCGGTTTCGCGTCTTCGTTGACTCGCGTCAGCTTTGTAACCGTCTGCCTCGGCGTCGAACGATGTAGGAGTCGCCCACCCGGCCCCGCTCGTCCTCCTGCCCGCCGGCCCCCCGCCCTTCAGCTCTCCGGCCGCCCTCGGGTCCGTCCCCGCCTGCCGCCCCCCCGGCCGAGGGCCGTGCGCTGCCGACCACCGACGGGCACCCCGGCTCCGCCGGAGGTACCGCAGCGCGACAGCAGGTAAAACTGCGAGGAAAAGCGCGGCTCGGCTTACGGGCTCCCGACCGGCCGTGGGGTAAGGGGAGCGATTCCTGGAGGGGCGGAGAGGGAGAAAAAGCCGTACGGCGATTTAAAACGCCTTGTTACGAAGGGAGCAACGCTGAGAAACCCCGAAGCCGCCACCCCCAGAAGCAGCAGCGGCCCTGCCCGGGGAGGTGCCGCGTCCCGGGGCCG